GAGCTCCCTGTGGGGCCACGAAACGTGTGAGGGGTGTGCCGAAATGGGTGATGACGATGACGATGACGACGATGACAATGACGATGATGATGATATGATGATGATGATGATGATGAAAGGATGATGACGATGATGATGAATTGGATGATGATGAATGATGATGATGATGATGATGATGATGATGATGATGATGATGATGATGATGAGGATGATAGGAGGGGAGAGAAGGCGGAGGAGGAGGAGGAGTGAGGGAGACGCGGGGCACCGTCTCTTCAAAACGAGGACCCAACACCACAGGATGGTTGGGAAAAAAGCTGTTGAAACACCCCGACAAGCCTCTGAGAGCTTCCCAGTGTTCTCTGCAAATTACAGAGAGGCCCTGAGAGCTGCCGAGAGGGCCTGAGAGCTCCCGTAGGGGCTCCGAGAACTCCGCGGAGCGCCGGGGCGCCAGAAATATGACGCGGGGCGCGGGGCGCCAGGGGCGCCAGAGGTCATATTTCTGGCGCGGGGCGCCAGGGGTCATATTTCTGGCGCGGGGCGCCAGAAATATGACCACCCGAAAAGCGCACACCGCACACAACACACAAAACGCGCACAACACACACAACACACAACACACACAACACACACAACACACACACAACACACAACGCACACACAGCACACAACACACATCATACACACAACACACAGGACACAACACACCACACACAACACACCCAACACCACACACCACACACATCACACACAACATCCCATACACCACACACGCAACACACAACACCATACACCACACACACACAACGCACAATACACACAACACACACAACACACGCACCACACACACACAACGGGCACAACACACAACGCACATAACACGCACACGCAACACACACAACACACACAGACACACAACACACACAACGCACGCACACACGACACCCACCACACACACAACACACAACACACAACACACAGCACACATAACACACACACGCGCATACACACACGCACGGCACACAGCACAAACAACACACGCACAACGCACAACACACACAATACCCACATAATGCACACAACACACACAACACACAACACACGCAACACACACACACACACGACATACACACACGCACACTTCACACACCACACAACACACCACACAGAACACACCCAACACAACACACCACACACAACACACAGTACTACACGCAACACGCAACGCACAAAACACCAGACACAACATACGACGCACAACGCACCAAAGGTCAGCAGGGCTTCGCCCTGTTTAGCAGAGCTTAGAAGAGCTTAGCGGGGCGAAGCATGGCTTACCAGAGTTTGCAGGGCTACCCGAGCCCACCAGGGCGCTGCAGTGCTTCACAGAGCCCAGCAGGGCGTAGGAGGGCTTACCACGGCTTACCAGCGCATCTAGCAGGGCTTACGGGAGCTCAGCAGGTGTCAACAGGACTTAGCAGGGCTTAGCAGACTGTAGCAGTGCCTCGCAGGGCCTCGCGGGGCTGCGCAGAGCCTCGCAGGGCCTCGCAGACTGTAGCAGTGCCTCGCAGAGCAGAGCTCAGAAATAGTTCCAGCGCGTTTATGGCCGGTGCTTTGGCTGGGCCCCCCATATCAATATGCGAAAACCTCATTCGGGATTTGTGTATTTCACACTTCGCCTACGGCCGGTTCTCTGGTTTCCTATTGGATTCCTACATATCTCTACGGAATTCATTGAACTCCTACTGAATTTCGCCAGGAAGGCATCTTATTCCCAACCAACCTGTGTTGTTGGGTCCTCGTTTTGAAGAGACGGTCCCCGCGTTCCTTCCTCCTTCCTCCTTCCTCCTTCCTCCTTCCTCCTCCTCCCCTTCCTCCCTCCTCCTCCCCCTCCCACACCCATTCTGGCACACACACCCTCACACGCTTCGTGGCCCCATAGGGAGCTCCACCGAAGGCCCCAGTGGCTGCGCCCGCATGCGGTTCCACCCCCCATTCTGGCACACCCCTCACACGTTTCGTGGCCCCATAGGGAGCTCCACCGAAGGCCCCAGTGGCTGCGCCCGCATGCGGTTCCACCCCCCATTCTGGCACACCCCTCACACGTTTCGTGGCCCCATAGGGAGCTCCACCGAAGGCCCCAGTGGCTGCGCCCGCATGCGGTTCCACCCCCCAGTCTGGCACACCCCTCACACGTTTCGTGGCCCCATAGGGAGCTCCACCGAAGGCCCCAGTGGCTGCGCCCGCATGCGGTTCCACCCCCCATTCTGGCACACCCCTCACACGTTTCGTGGCCCCATAGGGAGCTCCACCGAAGGCCCCAGTGGCTGCGCCCGCATGCGGTTCCACCCCCCATCCTGGCACACCCCTCACACGTTTCGTGGCCCCATAGGGAGCTCCACCGAAGGCCCCAGTGGCTGCGCCCGCATGCGGTTCCACCCCCCCTTCTGGCACACCCCTCACACGTTTCGTGGCCCCATAGGGAGCTCCACCGAAGGCCCCAGTGGCTGCGCCCGCATGCGGTTCCACCCCCCAGTCTGGCACACCCCTCACACGTTTCGTGGCCCCATAGGGAGCTCCACCGAAGGCCCCAGTGGCTGCGCCCGCACGCGGTTCCACCCCCCATTCTGGCACACCCCTCACACGTTTCGTGGCCCCATAGGGAGCTCCACCGAAGGCCCCAGTGGCTGCGCCCGCATGCGGTTCCACCCCCCATTCTGGCACACCCCTCACACGTTTCGTGGCCCCATAGGGAGCTCCACCGAAGGCCCCAGTGGCTGCGCCCGCATGCGGTTCCACCCCCCATTCTGGTACACCCCTCACACGTTTCGTGGCCCCATAGGGAGCTCCACCGAAGGCCCCAGTGGCTGCGCCCGCATGCGGTTCCACCCCCCATTCTGGCATACCCCTCACACGCTTCGTGGCCCCATAGGGAGCTCCACCGAAGGCCCCAGTGGCTGCGCCCGCATGCGGTTCCACCCCCATTCTGGCACACCCCTCACACGTTTCGTGGCCCCATAGGGGGCTCCACCGAAGGCCCCAGTGGCTGCGCCCGCATGCGGTTCCACCCCCCAATCTGGCATACCCCTCACACGTTTCGTGGCCCCATCGGGAGCTCCACCGAAGGTCCCAGTGGCTGCGCCCGCATGCGGTTCCACCCCCCATTCTGGCACACCCCTCACACGTTTCGTGGCCCCAAAAGGAGCTCCACCGAGCGCCCCAGTGGCTGCGCCCGCATGCGGTTCCACCCCCCCATTTCGGCACAACCCTCGCTCGTTTCGTGGCCCGGGGGCGCCACCGAAGAATATATCCACAATTGCGGTATTCACAACTACGTATGGTTGGGTCTTTCGTCAGGCTAATTTGATTTTTTATTGGATTATTATTGATCTTCACTCTGTTATTACTGATTTGTTATTGAATTCCTAAGAGGTGTGCCTATTGCATTTCCTATTGAATTGCAGGTCAAACCCAGACCCAGACCCAGACCCAAACCCAAAGCCGAACCCGAACCCCCCAGTCCATAAGTCAAGTGTGGCCATATTAGTACTACCCGAACTACAAGTACGACTACTACTACTACTACTACTACTACTACTACTACTACTACTACTACTACTACTACACTACTACTACTACTACTACTACCACTACTACTACTACTACTACTACTACTACTACTACTACTACTACTACTACTACTATACCACTACTAGTACGATGCCGAGTATTACGACTACTACTATACTGCTACTACAACTACCACTACAACAACTCTTACTACTACTATTACTACGACTACTGTTGCTATTACTACTACTACTACTACTACTACTACTACTACTACTACTACTACTACTACGACTACTACTACTGCTACTACTACTCCTACTACTAGGATTACTACTACTTCTACTACTTCTACTACTTCTACGACTACGACAGCCACTACTACTACTGATACTACTACTGCTGCTACTACTACTACTACTACTACTACTACTACTAGTATCACTACTACTACTACTACTACTACTACTACTGCTACTACTACTCGTACTAGTACTACTACTACTACTACTACTACTATTAATACTACTACTACTATTACTACTATTACTGCTACTACGACTACGACTACGACTACTACTACTACTACTACTTCTTCTACTACTACTACTACTACTACTACTACTACTACTACTACTACTACTATTACTACTACTACTACTACTACGACTACTACGACTACTACGACTACTACGACTACTACGACAACGGCAACGACTACTACTACTGCTACTACTACTCCTACTACTACTCCTACTACTACTACTACTACTACTACTACTACTACTACTACTACTACTACTACTACCATTACTACTTCTACGACGACGACGGCGACGAGACGACGACGACGACGACGTCGACGCCTACTACTACGATGTGTTGACTGCTATGAACACCACGACCACTCCTTATGAAGACAAGCTTGCACTCGGGCCCTGAATCGCGGAGTGCACTTGGAAGAGCTTCTGTGAGCCTGCGGGGCATTCCTGTCGACAGGGCAGCGACCCTGGCCATTCGAGAGGGCGTGAGAGGGTACGCAAGCAAGCAGCAGGGATACGCGCAGGTCGGGGGCCTGGACCAGGGCGGGTGGGGCGAGACAGGCAGGCGGCTTGTTGAGCCAAGGACAGCAGAGAGGCAAGCGCACAGACGGGCAGACCGAACGGGCAAGACGGGCAGCCAGGGACAACGAGAGCGGCAGAGGCAGAGTTAACCATGCAGAGCGAAGGACGGACAGACACACAAAAGGATGCAGATGACAGAAGCCTGCGTGAGGGGAAGCGTGAGGAACATCGTGTCGAATCCTGCTGACGTAAGCCAGCAGGCCTTTTCCGCTGGAGGACTTCAGGTCTTACAGTACGAGTCGAGTCGGCGCTCGCACGCAGCCCTGGTTGACTGCCCTTTCCAACCCTCGCCTCTCTCCCTAATGCTCTTCACACACCCCTCTGCCATCCCCAGGAGGCCGCAGCCTGGCAGGATCTGCCCACCACTACAAAGGGCGCCCGCAGGCCCCGACCGGGAGCAGAGCCCGACAATCCCCGTCCACACCTCTCACGGGCGAACCCCCCCCCAGCCAGAGGCCTTATCCCTCGGGCATGAGCGGCAGTCTGTGCAGCCTGCCGGTGCTGTGCAGCCCGGCGTCCTGGGCACGCCGGCTGCCTGTGCAGTCGGGCAGCCTGTGCAGCCTGGCAGCCAGTGCAGCCCGGCAGCCCAGCAGCCTGAGCACTGCAAAAAGTTCGGCACGAGCCCTGCAGTGTCCCAGACCTCCGACGACGTGTTTTGTTCCAGTGCACGGCCTCCCAGGTCCCGACCGCTTCGCTTCCCCAGGCCTCGCTTCTTGTCCCGTGCCTCTGCTGGATGGTCCTGGGGCGCGCAGACTGCCTCGACCCTGGAACCCCAGAGGAGGAAGGGGACGAGGAGGAGGAGGAGGAGGAGGAGGAGGAGGAGGAGGAGGAGGAGGAGGAGGAGGAGGAGGAGGAGGAGAAGGAGAAAAAAGAGAAAAGGAGGAGGAGGAGGAGGAGGAGGAGGAGGAGGAGGAGGAGGAGGAGGAGGAGGAGGAGGAGGAGGAGGAGGAGGAGGAGGAGGAGGAGGAGGAGGGAGGAGGAGGGTCGAGATCTAGGAAAACATGCCGACCTAAAAGGTCAGGTCGCCAGACGTCTGGGGCTGTGGCAGCCTAGAGGTCCCCGTCGGCCGAGGCGCTGCCTTCGGGGCCCGCCGAGCATGCCGCGCTCGCGCTCGCTGCCGCCGGGGCGGCCGCCGCTGAGGCGGCCACCGCGGACACGGGGGCGAAGCGCTCTCGCAGTCGGGGCAGGGTCTTAGCGAGCACCTTGCGGAAGCCCTCGCTGCTCTTCGAGGCGCTGGGGCCCTCCAGAGCCTCCTGTCGGGGGGCTGCCCGGGCGAGGCCAGGGAAGACGGGGGCGGGTCATGGCATGCGGTCGAGAACTTTTGCCGAGCCTGTCGCGGCGGCGGCCCCAGCGACACGCCATGCCATGCGAGCGGATCGCGTGTCGCTCCGCTCCGCGGGGCGGAAGGCTCGGACAGGCTCGGGACGTTGACGCTCGGGGGCTGGGGCGTGGATAGGGTGTCGCTCCGACGCGTGGTGGGCCAGAACTGGCGTAGCGACACGCTGAGCCAAAGTTCCTGACCGTGGAATACAGTCAGCCAGTATAATAAGCAAGGACGCGCGGTGAGAATACAAGGGCTTTGGAGGCCCATGTTCACGTCCTCAGGACGAGGTCGGCCAGCGGACGTCGCCAGGCAGGGATGGGGCAAGGATGCAGGGGGGAACCCTGGGAGGTCGCTCGTCCTTACTACGCGGGTGCAAGCTGTGGCGCCGCCTCGTCGATGCGTCGGCAAAGCAGCGGCGACGTCGACTGACGATGAGCATCGGGCTCTGGATAGGGCCGGCCCGCCGATGCGCCGGCGAGGCCCCCGTTGCGGCGGGCCCGGCTCCTCGACCTCACCGACCAGCTTTGCGCCGAAGCGGGCGAAGTAGTCTGCGACGATCTCGGCGAAACCCAGGGGCGGGTTGGCCGCCACGTTGAGCGCGGCGCGCAGCGCGAAGAGGCGCGCGTGCTCGTTGTACAGGGTGGAGGCCTGCTGCCCCTGCTCGGTGCCGGCGTCGCACTCGTGCCCCGGCTCGTTGAAGTACGGCTCCTCCACCTGGGCAGCCCGGAGCATCCCGCAGTGAGGGAGAGGGAAGGAGACGGAGGGAGGAGAAGGGAGGAGGGGGGAAGAGGAGGAGGAGGAGGAGGAGGAGGAGGAGGAGGAGGAAGAGGAGGAGGAGGAGGATGAGGAGGAGGAGGAGGAGGAGGATCCTCATACCTCCTCCTCCCTCGCAGCTGGGAACCTTGCCGGCAGCCGCGTGCACTCGGAGCACGGACGAAAGACCGTGGGTCTTCGAGCACGGGCCGCTCGGCCGAGGGCCCGGGGCCCGGTCGGCGAGGCCCAGAGCGAGTCCCACCAGCCCTGTGGGCGTGAGTGGTTTGGCGGGGTTCCTCTCAAGTCTTCCCTCTTTCCCTCGGGGAGGCGCTTGTCACTGTTCCCTCTCAATGCCCCCCACCCCCCACGCGACCAGCAGCCAACCCAGACCCATGCGCAACCCCGTCCACCATCCCTGTCAGGGAACAGTACAGAATACGCTGTGCCTTCAAATCCGCCGACCCTGTTGGCGTGCGTGAGGGGTATGTCTGGTCCCGTCGACGCGACGCCTTTTCTGTTTCTCCTTCCCCGTCGGAAGGGAGAGAGCACTCTCCCGTCGTCGGGGGGAAGGAGTCCCGGGATTGAGGTAAATCGACCCACGTCGCAGCCACGTCAAAGGTCAAAGGGAAGCCCCTTCCATTTGTCCCTTCCCCGGCGGGGGAGGCGCGGCCCAAGGGGGGGGGGTCAGATTCGCATCGCCTCTGGGGGTCCTCCTCTCCCACGCCGGTTCTTCTCCTCTCCGGCGTGCCGGTCCTCCTCGGGGCCTCCTCCCCAGGTGGGGAGGAGTCCCAGGGGGGAGGGGAGTCAGATACGCATCCTCTTGGGGGTCCTCCTAGGCCCTCCCCTCCCCTCTCCCACGCAGGTCCTCCTCCTTCTCCTCCTCCTCCGCCTTTTCCTCCTCCCCCTCCTCCTCCTCCCCCTCCTCCTCCCCCTCCTTATCTCCGCCTCCTCCTCCTTCTCCCCCTCCTCCGCCTCCTGGTCGTCGTCGATGTCTTTCAGGGTCGGCGGCACCAGCCGTCAGGCCTTCACAATCAAGAGTATGCGCGGGCGCCCAGCGACCATGTTCCATAGATTTTTGACAGGGACGGCCGGGGTGCCAACATGTTGCTTGCTGCGCGCATGCCAACACCTCCCCCACCATCCCTTGGAAAACAACAACTTAATACACTTTGCACCGTAACCTGGATCATGCGCGGACGCCCCGCCATCACTTTGCAGTGGTTTTTGGTACAGGCGGCTGGGGAGGGGTACAGCCAAGCTAGGTGCGCTCGCGTCATATCTGACATCCTACCCCTCCCTCCCATATGATCCCGAAAGGGTGCGCGATGCATTGTAGAGCACGGCATGGCATGGCGTAGAAGAGCACCGCAAAGCGTAGCACCAACCTAGCATTGCATTGCATGCCGTGGCATGGCACGGGAAATGACGCCAGCGCTGCAGCGGGAGCACGAGTCGGAACGAGCGGAAGCGCGGAAAGAGGCCAGCGCTGCAGCGGGAGCACGATTCGGAACGAGCGGAAGCACGGAAATGAGGCCAGCGCTGCAGCGGGAGCGCGATTCGGAACGAGCGGGGCCCGAAAATGAGGCCGGCGCCTCGGCGAGAGCAGCATTTTGTAAAAAAGCAAGCGGAAACCCAACTCCGGGGAATCCTGTGTGTAAAAAAGCAGTACGCGGGGGGGGCTAATACGGTCAAGCCGTCATCAGGGGAAGAGGGAGAGTAGTATTCATATTGAGTAATTGTATATCGCCTCCCCAACCATCTCCTGCCAAAAACAATGCACAATGCACTCTGCACCAAAACCAAGATCATGCGCGGGACGCTTCGCGCTCACATCGCACTGGTTTGAGATTTGAAGGTGGGGGTGCCAGCATTTTGCCCGCTTCGTGCAGGCCCAGCATCCCTTTCAAGTACAAAAAAAAAGCAATGGGCCAGGGAAGGCGGGGGGAGGCGGCATAGTGCCTGCTGTTCGCAGGCCCAACACCCCTGTTAAAAAACAATGAAGGACCGTGAGCGCACACCCGCACACAACAAACCCGCCGTCACTTCGCATGGGTTTTTGGCAGGGACGTTCGGAGGGTCAACGTATTGCCCAATGTGACGCACCTGGGCCGCATGGCGCAGCTGGCATGTGCGCCGCACCTCGCGAGCTTCGGGCACCTGGCTGGCGTCTGCACTGGTTCCCGATGGTCGTCGATGGCAACCTCTGTCCGTGCTGAGACTCGGGTGCTAACTTATGTTTTGGGGGGCGGGGGAAATAAGCGAGACGGCTTGTTGCTTGTGGGTACGTAGCTGGATCACGGTTCCCTTCTTAAAAACACTCCTTCCCCGACACGGCCGGCAGCCAACCCTGACCCATGCCGCCACCCCCCTCACACCATCCCACTGCCTCTGGATATGGAGCATGCGCGGGCGCCACGCGACCATTTCGCATTAGTTATTGAAAAGGACGGCGGGAGGGGCCTCACATCGCTTGATGCGCGCATGCAAACCATCTGTGCACTGTGTCTCCGAATATGGAGCATGCGCGGGCGCCCCGCGAACCCTTTGCATGGGCTGTTGACAAGGAAGGGGGACTCATATTGCTTGCTGCGCGCACACAATCAACCCCTTACCAACAAACGATACAAACTACACTGTGCCTCCAAATCTGGAGCACGCGCGGGCGCCGCGCGACCATTGAGAGAGCGTGATCCACCGCCGCTTTACTGCGGAAAATTGCCAACCTTTTCCTCCAGAGCCCGGGGGTCGCCCCCCCCCCCCCTCTCCGAAAATCCCCCCCCCCCCTGCTGGAACCCCTCCCCCCCCCCCCCCCTCCGGATCCGGAAAACCGGGGGGGGTCACTACCGGTTCGAACCCCCCCCCCCCCTCGAAAACCGGAGGGGGATCACTACCGGTTCGAACCCCTCCCCACCCCCCCACTCACCGCCAGCAAACGACTCCCGGTCCCTACCACCGTCCGCATCACATCCTCCACTGTTGTTCCCAGCACCACTGTCCTCACCACCACTGTCCCCACTGTGTCCCCACCAGTGCCCCCACCACTGTCGCACTGTCCCCACTGTCCCCACCACTGTTCCCACCACGGTTCCACTCTCCCCACTGTCTCCACGGCCCCAAACCACTGCCCGACTATCCCCACTGTCCCCACTGTCCCACTGACTCCGCCGCTGTCCCACTGAGCTGTCCCACTGTTCCCACCACTGTCCCCACTGTCCCCACCACTGTCCCCACTGTACCCTCTGTCCCATTGTCCCACCGCCGTCCTCGCCACCGCCTTCACCACTGTCCCCACCACCATTGTACCCACCACTGTCCCACTGGTAGTGAGCCCCCCCGGTTTTCCGGAGGGGGGGGGGGGGGGGGAGGGGTTCGAACCGGTAGTGACCCCCCCCGGTTTTCCGCCAGCAGCAGTAGAACACGCTCTTTCTTCGATGCTGACCAGGATGGCAGGGGCGGGGGCCTCATAGTGCCTGCTGAGCGCAAGCCGAGCATCCCTGTCACATTGCAATGCGAAGTGCACTTCGCATCCAAATCGGGGGCATGCGCGGGCGCCCCGCGACCACTCCGCATTGGTTTTCGAGAGGGGATGCGCGGGTCCTACTCCTGTGTTGGGAGGGTGGTCGGGAGTGAGCGAGACGGCCTGTGCCGTGTGGGCAGGAGATGTCTTGACCCCTTCCCCCTCCCCTCCCCTGGGTCTGGGGGGGGAGGGGCGGCGACCGATTGGAGCGGCCAAGATGGCCAAATGTGGCTCCAAGAAGGCAGATCAGCGAGCCAAAGATGATCTCCAAGATGGCTCAAGATGGCGTCCAACATGGCCCAGGGGGTCCCAAGACCTCCCCAAGACGGCTCCAAGTGGCCACGGAGCCTTACAGTAAGGCCACCCAAATGCCCCAAATCCTTCAAACACCCGAGGAAACAACATTACGTGTTGCCTCTCACCTTTTCGCTTTCGACTGTACTCCGAGGCCTCCAGGTGGCTCCAAGAAGGCGCGACAGAGCCTCAAGAGGAGCCCAAGAGGGTCCCACGACGGCCGCCAGAGCTCCCAAGAGGGTTCCAAGAGCGCCCTAAGAGAGTCCAAGAGGAGGTTTTAGGAGCTGCAGAGTGGGGGACCCTCATTGAGTGCCCCCCCCCTATTTGATCGATCTCCTCAAAGATTGCCCCAAGAGGGCCTCCGAGGCTCCCGAGAGGGCCCCAAGAGGCGCTCAGGAGGCCCCCAGAGGCCATAAAGAGGTCCCATGAGGCTCCCAAGAAGGCCCTAAAAGGCCCCAGGACGCTCCCCTGAGGCAAGCAAGACGCTCCACAAGGCCTCCGGGATCGACAAGAGGCCCTCAAGACGACCCAAGAGGATTCCAAGAATCTCTCACGAGACATCCGAAGAGACTCCGAGAGGCATCCAAGAGGCCTTCATCCTTTCTGCTCGCCCTCCTCCTCTTCCTCCTCCTCCTCCTCCTCCTCCTCCTCATCATCATCAGCATCATCATCCGCCTATTCCTCCTCCATCCTCCCTCCTCCCCCTCCCCCTCCTCCGATTCCTCCTCCATCCTTCTCCTCTTGGGGTATGACGGTTTCCCCAGTCCTTTATTCCACTGCGTGCTCCTCCGCATTCATGATCAGAGCAACTCTCCTCGGCATCGTTTCTAGAAGGGCTGTCGGCTGGTGCAGTTGCGCAATGCGTCTAGAAGAACTATTGAGGGTGAAGGGCCCAAGTACGAATAGCAAAAGGGAGTCGAGGGTCAATCTTGACACTCGCGCCAGCTGTGCTCAGAGTGTTCGTCACCGTCCTTCCCCCGCTTGACGCCACGACTCTCCTGCGGAGCATCGCGTCACGATCCGGGCCGACGGACACGGCCGCCGTGCCATACGGGGAGGCGCTGACGGGGGGACGCGCAGGGACTTCTCTGGCCATGGGCACGCCTCGGCCACGGGTGGGTTCCCTGGCCCAGATTGCACATAATGATGAGTGCGTCTTCCACCACCACCACCATGAGTTGGAGGGGGGAAGGAGGAGGACGAGAAAGAGGAGGACGAGGAGGAGGAGGAGGAGGAGGAGGAGGACCCCCTCCCCCTCCAACTTATGGTGGTGGTGGTGGAAACCAAGCCCATCATAGAAGAAGACGAGCAACGGCATAAACCTACACTTTCGACAGTCCGCGCGGAATGCTTGGATTTGCGCCGGATGCGCCAGGCGCGGCGAAAGAGGCGCCGCCAAGGCGCCCCAGCGCAGGTCCGAGAAGACCGCGCGGAGCGCCGAACGTGTCTGCTTATGGCGTGTTTTTCGGCCTCGCTCGAAGGGGGAGCCCGAAAACCCGAGCCCTTCTTGAGCCACCGGTGATCCTTGTCCAGACGTGCGAAGTCCTGATTTGTTCCATACTCGGTCTCCGGAAGTCCCGACCCGTTCCCTAGGACCGGTTCCTCATCCTTAATCGTTTTTTGACGGTCCCGAGGCCCGGCGAGGGCCCAGAAGCCGAAAGCGACCAAAACCTCGCGTCGTGCTGTTTTTTGTTACGACGCGATCACGTCTGGGTTATGCAGCGCCTCGACTGCATTTCGAGCCGCCCTCCACCAGAACCAGGCCCTGCAGGGAGACGAGCACCTGCAGCAGGGTCGAGCGCTGCGGGTCCCACGAGGGCCCGGACCACGTGCCCAGGAGGCTGAGGCAGACCTTGCCGTCCACGTAGAGGTTGGGATTCAGCCGCTCGTTGCCCACGTGGTGCGCGTGAAAGTAAGCCTCGAGGAACGAGCAACCCCAGACGCGATCGCGTCGTGAAAACATCTCGGCGGGAAGTTTCTAGCCGTCTTCGGCCTCTGGAGGCCCTCGCCGGGCCTCGGGATCGTCAAAAAACGACTCAGGATGAGGCACTAGACCCAGAGAAAGGGCCGGGACTCCGGGGGACTGCGCATTGAAAAAAGCAGGAGCTCGCATGTCTGGGACGGCGCCTGTCCAAGACGTACCTTTTCCTGTGCAAGCTCTTCGGCACCGCCTGCACCCCGCACCCTCCGGCCGCCCGAGGCCCCGCCCGCCCGCGCCCTCTCTCCCCAATTCGTGCCTTGCGAGCCCCGCCTCGAAGAGGGAGGGTGGGAGAGGAGGGAGGGTGAGAGGGCGGGAGAGGGAGGGAGGGGCTCTCCCTCCTCCCACCCTCCCTCCTCCTCCTCTCATCCTCCTCCTCCTCCTCCTCCCTCCTCCTCCTCCTCCTCCTCCCCTCCTCCTCCCTCCTCCCTCCTCCTCCTCCTCCTTCTCCTCCCTCCTCCTCCTCCTCCCCTCCTCCTCCTCCTCCTCCTCCTCCTCCTCCTCCTCCTCCTCCTCCTCCCCTCTCCTCCTCCTCCTCCTCCCTCCTCCTCCTCCTCCTCCTCCTCCTCCTCCTCCTCCTCCTCCTCCTCCTCGCCCTCGACCCGCAGACCAAAAAGCCGGGGACGGCGCAGGCACACACCGTCGGAGGCCCGCGCGCCTCGCTCGCATCTGCGCCGGGCCCCCCCCCCCCCTCTTCGGCGCGCGGACCGCGCCGGGGGCGGCGCCCGAGGCGCCGCCAGGGGCCCACAGCGCAGATCCGAGAGATCCGCGCGCGGGGCTCCGAGGATGCAGGGGTGTGCAGGTCTTGTGCTCCGGGGGCCAGGGGAGGTTCGCGAGGGTAGTCGCTGGGGAGGCAGAAGTCGAAGAAGAAGGGGACGTGGGAGTACGGCGTGTCGGATGGGCCGACCACCATGGCGCGGAAGAGGTCGGTGCGGGAGCCGAAGGTGCGGACCACGATGGGGGCCGGGCCCGTGGAGCCCTCCAGGAGGCCCTTCTTGAGGCAGGCCATCTCGCGCCGCACCGCCGACAGGAAGGGGCGCGACGAGGAGGTCGCGCGCGCCAGGAAGTGGTGGTCTATGGGCTCCACGTCGTCGTCGAACGCGTCGAACGCGGGGACTCCGGAGCACGGCTCCTCGGCAGGCGCTGTCGCGGAGGGCGGCGGCCCATCCTCTGACGCGTCTGCGGGCGCAGCCGCCGCCGGGGGCGTGGGCGGCGCGGCGGGGGCGCCGGAGCTGGCCGAGCGCGACCCGGACAGGCCGAGGTAGTCGCCGACGAAGTTGATGATGCCGGAGGCGATGCCAGGTCGGGCTGCCTGCGAGGCCTTCGCCTGATGAGCAATTGGAAAGGACACCTAAGCCTGCGGGAGCGGACCTGGGTCAAGAGGCCCAAGATGATCGGGGATAGGGAGGCTTTTGTTCAGATGTGGCGGCCCAAACCACCTAGATGGATGATCCATGATGCGAAGACGGGGACCTCAATTCGGCTACGTCTTCACTGTGTTATGAGGGCAGGAGAGCCCAGAATCGAATCGATCAGTCGGGACGGCGATCTAAATGAATCGGATCGGCGAACATCGGCAACCGAGTCAGGGAAAGGGGAATCGGCAAACATCGGCAGCCAATAGGCCTCCATGGATAGATGAGTCGGGTCCCTAATCAGCATCTCGAGCCGAACCGGATCGGGATCGGACTCCATCGGAATCGAAGCAAGTCGAGTCGGAGGAATCACACAACAAAAAACACGCTTGGGTCAGGGGTTCTCTCGTCCTCGATGACCTCGGGGCCCTCCATCGGCTCGTCGTCGTCGGGGCCCTCCATGGCGACGTCGGGCGCGTCCGCCCCGGGGGTCCGCGCCTCGGGCTCCTCGCGCCCCTCCGACGGCGCGGCCTCGGAGCGCGCGCTCTCGTCGTCGGAGCCGGAGCCCTCGCCGGCAGACTCGGAGCCGTCGCCGTCGTCGACCACGAGGAGGTGCCAGACCTGCGCGCGTGGAGCCCCGAGGTCCGGCCGCTGCGGTCTCTCCAAGGGCTCCCAGCTGCGCGCGGCGCGCGGCGCGAGGCGCGCAATTTGCGAATCACTTCGCGCTCTCGCGCCGCCCCCCAGGGGAGAAGAGGAGGACGAGGAGGAAGCGGGGCCGAAGCGCGAAGCGGGAATAGCCTCGCGCCCTCGAAGGCGCCATCGAATATCTGCACCAGATGTTTACTCGCCAGCTTCCGGCGCCAGGGCCATGACAGATCGATCCAGCTCGAACAGTGCCGCAAGGCGTGAGGAGGTCCAGGGCGCAGGTCGTGAACATCTGCTGCGCTGCATTCCAGGGGATGCGGGGGAGGACAATAGCACTATCCTCCACTGAGGCATTCCCAGGACAGCGCAATCTTCCGTCTAGGTTGCGCACAGCGAGTACGAAATTCAAGAATTTTACAGCGGCCCTGGAAAAACGCACGTAGTACTGAAACACTGGCACTGTGAAACCAGGTCTTGGTACTTAGAATGCGTTTCGACTTCACACGGCCGTTTTGTTAAGACGAGCTCGGGTGCAACACCTGCCTGCCCCCCTGTGGAGCCTCCGGGCGGAGAACAGTCACGTACCGTAGTCTCGCATAGTTTTGCGATAGGGGCCTGAATTCCTGACTGGCATGTCAACGGCTAGCCAAGTGACGCCCGACAAGAGCCAGCACGCTCATACCCAACACCCCTCTTTCATCCGCACTCGCCAGCTTTGCAAGGATATTTTGAAAACGAGCCCTGGCGCCCGTGAAATCCGCCAAGCCACTTGCCATGGCCAAGCTATGTGGCGCAAGCTCTGCGATGCCACGTCTGTGGTGCAAGCTGCGCGGTCAAGAACCATTGGATAAGGAATCCAGGGTCTGGGAGCTGGTGGGACTCTATTGGAGGCTTGGCCATGGACATCACCGCTGCCCTCGTCAGACACGGAATCCCTCAGGGTCTGAAGCCTCCTGGGCAAGTTCCTTAACGAAAGCCTCCACCGCATGTGTGGTGTAAGCTGAGTCCGAAACCTGGACTCCGTCTTCGCTGCTACTTGTGCTACCTCGTACTGTGCATCGGCAGCGCCTGTGGGTGCACCGACGCCGCGGCCCGGCTGCTGCCACGGCCCCCGCTGCCGCTGCTGGCCGCGCCGGCGCGCTCAGTGTGGAATACTTCCGCGTCTGAGTGCCCCCCGCCTCCCCCTGTCCTTCGCGGCCGCCCTGTCTGCCTTCCCCCCCCTCCTGCATGCCGGCCAGTTCGCGCTTCGGTCGCCCCGATCCCTCACCGCTGGTGCGGCTCTGCTGCCTCGCCGCCGACGGAAAAAGCGTGGTGCAAGCTGTGCTGCGCGGTGCACGGCTGCACGGTGCCAAACAAAAAAAGAACCTGGCCCGCGACTAAGCGCCCGCGACCAGCGACCGGGGCGGCAGCATCCTGCACGAGGAGCCCATGGGGCGGCGATCGCCACGAGCGGCAAGCCTCTCTGCAGCCGCGCCCTCGCGGTCTGGCTCCCGGGGCCCGGTCCCCCGCGGATGCGCGGTCGCACGGGGTGCGCCCTGCGCGGGGCAGCCACGAGCAAGGACGCCCCGCGTCCGCAGGGTCGCGGCCCAGGGGCCAGGCCCGCGAGGCGCCCACGAGGCGCCCACGGACCGCGGCGAGGCGAAAGCTGAGGACCGGCAACCAGATACCTGGAGCAGAAACGGAAGTGCGCGCAGCGCTTGGGAAACGCACGCAACAGCTCTCGCCTGCCCCCCCCTCTGGAAGTCCCACTCCACGCGTGCTCCTGGGCTTATCTCGAGGCTCCTGCCTCCAACGATCGCTTGCGCAAAAAGGTCCAGCTTCTCGACAGGACACTGCGGGAGCACTGCGGTCGGCGCGACCCCAAACCCCCAGTTTCCATGCAGACCTCCTTCCACTGGTAGCTGCCGTCGAGCAGCCTGATGTGGGCCTGCCCGTCAGACCTCAGCTCGCACACGCGACCGGCCCACTGCTGGTCCTGCGCGTCGGGCACGAGCACGGCGTCGCCGAGGCGAATGTCCACCTGCGGGTGGTCCGTGAGCTCGAACACGCTGACCTCGAGGCAGAACCACCAGGGGGGGCTGGCGCAGGGCTGGCCCAGAAGCAGAAGCACCGACCCACCATCGCCCATTCGTCGCCACTCGGGGCCCGGGTGCCCCAGACAGCCCTGGAGCGCGCGGCTTCACCCTCGGGGGCCTGCTGCCCACCCATTTGTAATTCAGTGCCGATCTTGCCTCAACTTCTCCGCCCTGCGCCAGCCCCCACCCTGCGCTCGGACCGACTCAGGCTGAGAGTCCTGGCGCTGGAATCGGCAACACACCGCCGACGCATCGGCGGCAGGCAGCAGGTGCCGAAGCTTGGCGGGGCTGGGCCACCGGGCCCCTTTTCGCGGCGACGGGGGCGACTGTGTAGCGAATTGGCCAGCATGCGCGAGTGGAGAAGAGAGCACGCTGACATGGATGAGGGATCCGCGGACCTGGCGCAGAGGCGCAAGACTCGTGGATCGGGGAAGGGACCCGATAAAGCACGACGCCCGTGCCGCCCGATGTGGCGGCATCGCGCGCCGGTTTCGCTCTGAAGCGGGGCCCTTTGCTAACCCACGCGCCTTAATCCATGTTAGCGCTTCCTCGATCGATGCTCGATCCTCAGTCAATCCTCGATGCTCGATCGATTCTCGATCCTTGTTAGCGCTTCCTCGATCGATCCTCGATCATGGATCGATCGTCGATCGACCCTCGATCGATCATGGACCGATCCTCGATTCTATGAGCGCTTCCTCGATCGATCCTCGATCCTCGAGCTCCTGAGTCTAGCCCCAACGTCGCCCTGAGCCTGTCCCCCTCCAACGTGTTCCTGAGCCTGTCCCCCCTGACGGTGCCCCGAGCCCATCTCCCCCTAACGTTGCCCTGAGCCTAGTTATCCCCCCCTGACGTTGTCCCGAGCCTATCCCCCCCTGGCGTTACCCCGAGCCTATTCCCCCCCCTGACGTTGCCATGAGCCTATCTCCCCCTGACGTTGCCCCGACCCTATCCCCCCCTGGCGTTACCCTGAGCCTATGACGTTGCCCCGAACCTATCCCGCCCGTGACGTTGTCCTGAGCCTATCCCCCCCTGGCGCTGCCCCGAGCCAATCCCCATCCCCCAACGTTGCCCGGAGCCAATCCCCCCTGACGTTGCCCCGAGCCTAATTACCCTCCCCTGACGTTGCCCTGAGCCCATCCACCCTAACGTTGCCCCGAATTGGAACTGGAAGCCGTCGACATCGGATCGATTCAAAGTCGGAGGCAACCCGATCCCAACATCGATCCCGATATCGATCGCCCGACGAATCCCGATACCGATCCCAGTATCGATCCCGACTCGAATCAGTCGACCGATCCCTCCGATCCCAATATCCTAGGGCTCCCAACTTCGCGCTTCGCGCTCCGCGAAGCGCGAATAATTTCGCGCTCTCGCGCCGCCCCCCCAAAGGGAGAAAAGGAGGACGAGGAGGAGGGGGAGAAGAAACGAGGACCGCGAGGGCGCGAATAACTCCGCGCCCTCGCGGGAGCCCTCGTATCTCGATCGAGCCTCGATCCGCGAGGCCCGCGAGGCCCGAGCCCGCCCCCTCTTCCCCCCCCCCCCCCCCCCCGAGCGTTGCTCCCGAGACGGTGCGAGGCCTTCGGGGGGGATGGGGGGGGCGGGCAGCGGCGGCGCGTGCGCGCGCAGGGATCGGGGAGATCCAAACGGAGGAGGATCGATGAAGGGGCCCTGGGACAAACACATAGATAGACACAAATAACAGGATTCCGAATTTGTTCCATTGTTTTCTGGGTTTCTGTCTTCCCCCCCACTTCTCATATTTTCCTGGGAGTCAACGATGAATTGTGTCTCTGTGTGTGTGCGTGTGCGTGTGCGTGTGCGTGTGCGTGTGCGTGTGCGCGTGCGTGTGCGTGTGCGTGCGCGTGCGCGTGTGCGTGTGCGTGTGCGTGTGCGTGTGCGTGTGCGTGTGCGTGTGCGTGTGCGTGCGCGTGCGCGTGCGCGTGCGCGTGTGCGTGCGCGTGCGCGTGCGCGTGCGCGTGCGCGTGCGCGTGCGCGTGCGCGTGCGCGTGCGCGTGCGCGTGCGCGTGCGCGTGCGCGTGCGCGTGCGTGTGCGTGTGTGTGTGTGTGTGTGTGTGTGTGTGTGTGTGTGTGTGCGTGTGTGTGTGTTCCTCTCCTGAATCGAGGAGGGTCGAGGAGGGGCCAGGATCAGGATCGAGGAGGATCGAGAAGGATCCAGGATCGAGGAGTGTCGCGGAGGGTCGAGGAGGGCCGAGGAGGGCCGAGGAGGGCCGAGGATCGAGGAGCGTCGAGGAGGGTCGAGGAGGATCAGGGAGGATCGAGGAGTGTCGAGAGGAGCGTCGAAGGTCGAGGGCCGAGGAGGATCAAGGAGGGCCGAGGAGACCTCCTCCACCTGCTGCGCCTGCGGGCCGGAGGCCCACTCCACCACCGCCGTGCGCGCCTGCAGGTCGACGCTGCGGCACACGCCCAGGGGCGGCCGGGCTTGCGCCGCCGCCTTCACCTCCTGCTCCACCTCCGCCGGGAAGGACCCCGATGCAAGCACCTCCTCCTCCTCCTCCTCCTCCTCCTTCCTCCTTCCCCCTTCCTCCTTCCTCCTTCCTCCTTCCCCCTTCCTCCTTCCTCCTTCCTCCTTCCGCCTTCCGCCTTCCGCCTTCCTTCCTCCTTCCTCCTTCCTCCTTCCTCCTTCCTCCTTCCTCCCTTCCTCCATTCCACTCCGTGCACTCCGTGCACTCCCGTCCGCTCCGTGCACTCCGCGTCGTCGCTGTGCTTCCCGCCCACTCCGTGCACCAAGGTTCGCCCAGCTTCGTCCGTGCCATGGTGTTCCGTCAGGCCTCCATGTCACTCATGTGGCGCTGCTGGGCCTCCCAAACATTCAAGGGAGCGTCCCCGTCGGGGTACATGTGGTTTTGGGCATGTCGTGCCCCCACACCCAGGGCTCCGTGCTCCTTCCCGGGATGGGTCACGGTCCCCACCATCTTCTGCAGGTCGGGTAGCAACAGTGACTACCTACCAGACCACCTCAACCCAACCCGAAGACCCGAATTTCGGGTTGGGGGGGGGTACGGGTTCCATATGTGTTTTTTCAGTGTTCCCCGACCCCCCCCTACTGGAAATGGAGGGCAAATTGAAGCCTTCGGGTTGGGTTGGGGTGCTTTGGTGGGTGGTGAAACAGGTGTCGGGTCAAAAGATGATCAGCGGAAACCATGGATGGCACACTCACCCGGCGGATGGCGGTGGTGAGCACGCGGACGGCCGCGGAAGCAAAGCACCCGGCCTCTTCTTCCGCTCCCCTTCTGCCAGCCTTGCCTGGTGGATGCCGGTGCTACGTCGGCGGCCGGGCGGCGGCCGTTTCCCGCTGGCGCCCTCTCCTGGCGGTCGGCGGCGGCAGGCTCGCGGAAAGCCGTGGAAGCAGGGCGCCATGTCTCTTTGGGGCTCCTTTCGGCCGTCCCTTCCTCCCGTGGATGGGGGGGTCTGCCGAGTGCACCCCTGAGGCCCTGGTGGGCCCCGGCGCCAGGCTCCCGAGGCATGTTCCGGGACGCCCTCCCCGGAGCATGCCTCGAGGATCTCTCTGGCGCGAGGCTGGTGGATCCCGCCGGACACGAAACGATAGCGGATGGGCCGGCACGCCGGTGCTTCCCAGCGCTTAGGAGGATCATTGAGGCCTTGCATCGTGTCACGGTGTGGACCAGCAGGTTCGGAGGCGAATCCAGCGGATGTGGAATCGGGGACAGAGATGTCGGACGGTTGGCTCTTCAACGCCTGCCCCCCTCCCTCCCCTCGGGGCGAATTTGTTATGTCTGGTTCCTTTCAGGCTTCCTCTCATCAGGACTCTCTTTTCGAGGATGGTGTCGACGTCCGCCAGCGTGGACACGCGAACTTCATGGGTCCGTCAGGCTCAATGGCAATCGCGTGCCCATTGGGCGCCCCAAAGGAAGCCACCCACGGTTCCGACAAGCTTCGTGAGTGCGCGCGGTGCCAACGGGGCCCCACCAACAAGGGATCATCCCTACTGCCCGCGCCCTGGTCTCGATTAGGTTCCACGTCGCTCATGCGGCCGAAGGGGTCCCCACCACCTTTTCACTTTCTGCCGCTTAGGCTTCGGAAGGGGCCGAGGACTCCTCCATGGACCCTCGGCCAACGAAGACGTGCATACAGGGGGGTCCAGACGTACCTCCACCCTCTTCACACCGTAACACAATACACCAGTCAATTATTCCTGATCTTCCTCCACCTCCACCTCCTCCTCCCTCCCGCCTCCCTCCTCCCTACGCAGGGCTCCCTCCTCCCTCCTCCCTGCGGAGGGACAGCAGCAGCACAAGCACACAGGGCGCCAGCCGCCGTGACCCGAGGCCCCGTGACCTGTGGCGCCGTGAGGGGACGCGTCCCCAGACAGGACCGCGCCGTAAAAAATCACGACGGGTCACTGCACCGACCTTGCAGACGTGCTGCAGCGGATTTTCGCGTGGATTTCTGTCAATGCAAAACCCCGAAACGGCAAGCGAAAAACGAAGTGAATTTCGCGTGGATGCTTGTTTGTCTTCATTCCGGACCAAAAATAAATCCGCGCGAAATTCACCTCGAAATCCGGAACGAAATTCTCCAGGACACTCCGGGCCCATCCTATCGTTATCCGAACGACATCGGCTCTGCGAGGTTGGCGCCATGAGACGGGAGGTGTTTGGCCATGTCCGACCTCCAGAAGACCCCCTCTGGGCCCCGGGACCGTCAACAAAAAGACTCGGAAGGAAAAACCGGTCCCGCGGAGAGGGCCAGGACTTCCGGGAACTCGATGCAGACACCACTCGGCGGCGAGCCCAGGGGGGAAGTGAGAAGGGGCGGGCCTTCTCAGAAGGCTCGAAGTCCCCCGGCCTTCTGAGAAGCCCCGCCGCCCTCTGTGAAGACCTTCTTATTCTCACTTCCCCCCTCGCTCGCCGCCGAACTACGTCATTCGACCGGCTGACCCTCCATCCTCGATCCAAGACGCTCCTCGAGGATCGAGGATAAAGACCTAGCCGTGGCAGGATGGAGGATCGCAGATCGAGGGTCCTCGAGGATCGAGGGTGCAGGATCGATCATTCTAGAGGATCGGGGACGGAGGAGCATCTTGCAGCGTGGGGATCGCGAGGGATCGGGGATAGGAAGGACCGAGGCGAACACCACAGAGCGCGGTGTACCACTTGGGGGGCGGCCACTTCGATCCAAGCCGGCGGGACGCAACGGAGCGATTTAAATCAAGGGCGCAGGCAGACGAGGGAAAGAGGGGGGGGGGGGGGGGGGCGACAGGCAGAGCAGGGGAGGGGGAGAAGCAGCGCGCAGCGGGAGGGCCCTCCGGGCGGGAGGTTCGTCGGGGTGCGCCGGGGGGCGCGGTGTACTCCAGATTTCGTATTAAAAGGGAGGGGGTCTGGACCCTCCAAGACAAGCCATTTCAGACCTCCCCCGTGGGAGCACCCTCCAAAACATCGTCCCCAGACCCCCCAGGCCCTCCAAGATAGCCTGGAAGAGGCCCCCCCCCCGGAAATGAGACCCCCCTCCCTTTCTTACGAAATCTGGAGTACTCGTGGTGCCACTCGGTGTGACATGAAACTCCAGCTGCCCAACCTGTGGGACGCGGAAACGTCGCCGGAATTCTTTCGCCGAGACCTTCCAGCCCTTGACTGCGCAGGCGGTTTAGGGCGGTTCCTCGTCCACCTTCTTCCCCTTCAGGGAGGGGGGTACCCCTCCCCATATCCCCTGCCCCTGGGTCTGGACGGAGGGGTCCCGCATCGTTAGAGTATCCAAAATGGCCTCAGTGAGAGGGCAAGGAGCTCGGTGTATACATGTGTGTTGAGCATGCAGACGCGTTGGTGTCCCCATATACTTCGTGGACGGGCGCTCATGTACAGGTACAGTTGCAATTATATGCCAAGACATTGATACGCAGGTCGTCTAAAATCAACTTACACGTGGATTCATATCATGTACGCATACATGTGTTACGTGACTTGGGTTGAGGAGAGAGTCAGAACATGAGCTAGACCTAATGTATTCGCAACTCGATCCATCTAGCGCGAGATAACTTTGCAATGTGCTTCATCTAGCGTTGCGTTTGGCTTGCACTTAGCTTGCATTGAACCCCACATGGGTCAGGCAAACTTGTGCCGTGTTAGGCTCGCCGTCTGCATCCGCAGGGTCCAATTGTTTGCTCGCTGGGAAAATATATCGACATAGGATCCACACATAATTCGCAACTGTTTTCACGCACTTCTGATATGGCTTGCGCACCCGCCCTTTTCCTCTCCCTCGGATCCGCTTGAACGGAGGCCAACCAATCGCTGTTCCATGTTCCGTGTTCCTCCTCCTCCTCCTCCTCCTCCTCATCCTCCTCATCCTCCTCCTTCTGTTCCCGCCCTCCCCCGTCCGCCTTCATCATTACTTCCTCCATCCTCCCTTTCTCTCTCCTCCTGCCTCATCCCTCACTCCCCGCTCCTCCTCCCTCCGGCTCCTCCCTCCATACCCCTCCTGCACCCCCCCGTTCCCCCTCCCACACCCTGCTCATTCCCTCCGCCCTCCTCCTTCCCATCCTCGTCCTCTCCCTCCTCCTCCCTCCCTCCGCCCTCGCCCCCCCCGCGTCGGACCCCAAGACCCCCCCCCCCCACGTGTCATCGCAGCCCGGCCCTCGTCGGGCCCGTGGGCCCACTCCTCGCGTCGGGGCTCCCACGGGCAGGCGCCGGAGATCCACGGACTGGGGTGCCAACGCGCGAGGGACAGTTTGCCGCCTGCTCCTCCTTCCCCTCCTCCTCCCCCCACCCTCCCTCCCTCCCCCTCGTATCACGTCCTCCTCCCAGCCTCCTCTGGCCACTCTCCAGTTGCCCCCCAGCCACCTCTCAGCCGCCCATGCCCAGCTGCTGGGTGGCTGGAGGGTCGCTGGGGGGTGCCTGTGGGGTGGGTGTGGGATTGCTGGAGCTGGTTGCCCCAACCACCACGCGCCACCCCCCAGCAACCTCCAGGCCCCCCCCCAGCCCCCCCCCCCAGCTACCCACGCCTGGGTGCAGGGTGGCTGGGGGGTGGCTTGGGGGATGGCTGGGGGGTGGCCTGGGGGATGGCTGGGGGGTGGCTGGGGGGTGGCTTGTGGTGGCTGGGGCAGCCGATTTTGTGCCACCAAGCCGCCCCAAGAAAGGCGACTTCACGGGATCCAGCGGCCAAAAACGGCCCAGGAGGTCTCCAAGGCCGCCCAAGGGGCCTCGAAGATGGCCCACGAGGATCCTGATCATCATTGGGCTCGCAGGCGTCATCCGATATGTGCGCGAGCCCGTGCAGGTCACACAGATTGGGGCCGCAGGTGGACTTCCAGAGGTGTCGGCTCCTAGGCTCCGCCGTGTGCCTGTCGGGGTGAGCTCAAGAGCCTTGGAGCTGACAGGAAACTTACAAACACGACGTACCACCAGCGCCATGTCTGTCAGCTTTCTGTCAGCGATTGGAGCCTCCAGTCCGCATGCTGGGGCCACGTCGGGGTGATCTCGGGGCCCTCGGGGAGGCTGCGTTGCTGCCCCCGTCGGGCCATCAAGCGGACGGGAAATCTACAGGATCGACCCTGCAACAGCGAAGCCTTTCTGTCAGCTGTCTGACAGCTCCTGGGGCGTAAACTGTATGTCTCGGGACCTTCTCAGTGATTTCGTGGTCCTTTACAGGAAGCGCGGAGGATCCGTTGGCAGATCAGGGGCTGCAAGACGGAGAACGGGGGCAAATTTAACCCCGATAGTTTCGACCAAAGGTTTTGAACTGCACGTGATCAACAGTGAGGCAACTGTGACACAACTGATGAAAACACGCGCGGGTGCATTCAGGTCGCATGTAGCTTTGCATTTAGCTGAACGTTGCTTTACACTTAGCTTACTATAGCTATGTCTTTAGCCTGAGTTCTGAGCTCACTCAATCTAACTGCATTCACATATGGCACTTACAACTTGGCTAGCAACATGAATGCCGAATGAATTGCATGTCGATTTGTAGAATAAATGTAGATGCGCGCCCGCCCACAAAGCAAAGACAAGCCAGGAGGGAAGAAAGGACGAGGAAGCGGAAGAGCAACGGAGCACCTCAGACGCACACACCGTCCGCGGACGGGCGGCTGCGAGTCGGTGCCGCCGCACGCGGGGGCGACGGTGTTGACGTGGGCACCGGCATAGGTGTAGAGAGCTCGGTGTATACACGCTCCAGCTTTCCAACCTGCGGGGTACTGGAGCGTCTATACTCCGAAATCCTTCGCCGAATTCCTTGGCTCATTGGCCAGCCTTTAACGACGTTGGTGAATACATCGAGCCCCTCCGAACCTTCTGCTCCACGTCCATGGGCGTACTCTCGGCCTCCCCGCCGAGGTCCTGCTTTGGCGGCGCACACAAGGGGGTACGGATAGGGGGCACGGCTTCTTGGAAGAAGGCTGCTGTAGAGGATGCCCGCACCTTCGTAGAAGCAGGGGTGCTTCTAAGAAGCCAGCCTTCCCCCCTCCCCTCCCCCCATCTGCTGGGATGCACAGAGGCATACTAACACGATCTGTTTTCCTTGGAAGCGCGCGTCCGACCCGAACATACAATATAGTGTTCCGGAGCACCCCGCAGTTGCGGATGAGAGCGAGGGGGCGGTGGGGACGTCTGCAGTCTGCGAGGCTCTGGAGAAGCCCGCCGCGGGCGCATAATCTTTACGAATCATACCACGGGCCCGCCGCAGGCGCAAATTTTTCATTAAATCAATGTGGGTGGGTCGCGGGGTGGGTCGCGGGCCGGGTCGCGGGTGGGTCGCGGGTCGCGGGTGGGTCGCGGGTGGGTCGGGCTGGGTCGCGGGTGGGTCGTGGGTGGTGTGGTCGCGGGTGGGTCGCGCGGGTCGCGGGCGGGTCGCGGGCGGGTCGCCGGGTTGGGTCGCTTGTGGTCGCTTGTTGTCGCGGGTGTGTCGCGGTGGTCGCGGGCGGGTCGCGGGGTGGGTCGCGGGTTGGGTCGCGGGCTGGGTCGCGGGTGGGTCGCGGGTGGTCGCGGGTGGGTCGCGGGTGGGTCGCGGGCCGGGTCGCGGGTGGGTCGCGGGTAGGTCGCGGGTGGGTCGCGGGTGGGTCGCGGGCGTGTCGCGGGCGGGTCGCGGGCGGGTCGCGGGGGGGGGTCGCGGGTGGGTCGCTGGTGGGTCGCGGGGTGGGTCGCGGTTGGGTCGCGGGCGGGTCGCAGGGTGGGTCGCGGGCCAGGTCGCGGGCCAGGTCACGGGCCGGGTCGCGGGGGGGACGACGCCAAACAACAACAACAACCACAACCACAACAACAACAACAACAATAACAACCAACAACAACAACAACAACAACAACAACAACAACAACAACAACCACAACAACAACAACCACAACAACAACAACAACAACAACAAAAATCCGCGTCGCGGAATTCCACTTCAACCACGCACCCAGGGACAGTGAATGACCGTTCGGCCCCCTCACTCTGACCCATCTTGTAGTATCTCGTTCCCCGAGCGGTGTGGCCAGACGCGCCCGCCACGAAGCATATACTACAAGCGCGTCGCCCCTGGGGGAGAGGGGGCGACGCACACATAGTATTAGTACCGTTAACCCGTATCAGAAGGATGCGCGGTAAGGCCCTCCACGCGCATGCCGCATTCTCCATCGCATGAAGCAGATACTCAGCCCGAAACGAATACTTGCTCCATGCGACGACCACAAAATCTTCGAGCACAGGATCCACATCGAGATACTACCGAAGCGCGAACCGACCTCACAGGGAGGTACCACCCACAAAGAGCACACTACACCGACGACCACAAGCGACAATACAGCCCAAATGACTCGCACGACCATGCCTACCAGCAGCGGCACTACAATGACCAGCACAATGCCAGCAACCACACCTTCGCCCGCGACATTCAGCCCAGTCCACCAAGTCTTTCCTCAAAGCACGCGAAGCCCAGACCCTAAGCCAGTATTGTACAAAGCCCCACCCACCATACCGACTTCCAAAGAAAATAATACAGCACACGCGAAAGACAAGACCGACTACGACGATACGAATACAGAGCTGGGAGCACCCACGGCAGAAGAAAAACACATGCGCACTACTGCATCCAGCACATGCGACCCGACGCCAAGCATTATTCCCCCCAGCGCGAACGACAACCAACCTCCCCCGATACAAGTGGAGCCCCAGAAACCCACTGGATGGTTCCCAGTTGCGACGACCACCCAGGATAAGGTAAACCCCGACACAATCACCTTCCCTATGGGAGCCACCATACGCTACCCGTACGGCACCAAGCTAGAGGACTCCATTGCCCACGGCACCATCACTGTCAACGAGGGCGATGTGGCCACAATGCTCAACATGTCCTTCAACAGCCAAGACGAGCTCTGAGCACGCGGTACCATCACTCAATCCAGCAACATGCGAAGCAGCAACAGGCCCCGATCGCAGACATCATCTCCGAGTACCGCCCCCCACTACCACGACATCCTGGACAAGCTCGACACCCTCGCCACGCTGGCAGGGGAAGCACAGGTCAACCACAGCACGGTCGTTGGCATTCAGACGGAGATCACCTCGGCCAACGATTTCACCACCTAGCTCCTCGACAAGCTTAACGACTACGTCACCCAACTACGCCCCTAACCACTGGCGATAGCCATCCTCGCCATTGTGCGAAGCAGCACGAGGTGCCAACGCGCCCGACGTCGATCACAGGTACTACTACCCACTCCATCACAAGCCATCAAAGGCTACACACCTCCGGCCCCGAACACTCCACCTACTCCATCGACATCCACCTCCGTGGGTCACGAACGTTAAGTTATTGTCCGACTCCTCCGACCTCATCTACTCCGATTTCAAGTACCACTTCTACTGAGCCCGACTGCGACGACAACTACCTCTGAGGTCTACAGGTCAGGACAGGTGGGGGCGGGATGAGGTTAGAGTGTGGGGGGGGAGACCTGCTCACAGCGCCTTCCCCGCCCACCCACCAGCGCCTAGGGCCCAGTTCGCACCGCACACTCCCCACTCCATTGCGTCTGACCTCCACTGCTGTGCATCCTTTGTCCACTGCTGCGCGCCCTCCCTTAGCATTACAGACTCCTTGATGGAGGGTCATCTGGCCCATCGCTATCGCCTCACCAGTGCCGCCTGGGAAGTTCACCCCACTCCAAAAGAGCAAGCTTACTGCAGCACCTCACCACCGTAAAGAGCAGCCACCGGGGCCCTCAGCCTCTGACCCCCAAGATCGAGCCACTGCGGCTACCCCCAGACGGCTTTTACAAACGGTAGGCACCAGTCTCCACCTCTCATCATGCTCACCCTCTTCTACCTTACAGCCTAGGCGCAGTTACAGCAATCAAGGCCCCAGCTTTTGACCGACCCCCTCTAGCGCCCCCCCATTTCATTCCACCGCCGTCTCTCTGCCCTGCGCTCCCGCACTTATGTGGGGGGGCCCTCGGGGGGGCCGGTGATTGGCTGGGACCTCTCCCTCTTCTCCCCCGCCTCGTCGTGCCCGCTTGCCCTCCCCTGTTCGCTCCCCCCCTCTTGTTGCTATCCTCCCGTGTCGCCCCCCTCCGCGTTTCTCCCTCGCCTCCTGGGGTATCCCCACCTTTCGGCTACCGGCCCTGCCCCCCTGTTTGGGAGGCAGGGCTGGGGACGGCTTCAGGAACTGACCAAAACCAGCCGTGAGAGTGAGTGTGTGTGAGAGGAGGGAGAAGGGAGGAAGGAGGGGAGGAAGGAGGGGGAGGAGGAGGGGGGAGGTAGGGAAGGAGGTCCTGCTGCGGCTGCGACGGGTCCACGGTGCTGCCGCCGAGCTGCGCCTCGGCGCCCGCGCCCGGCACCTCCGCCGGCCCCTCGCCCGCGCCAGCGCCCTCCCGCGGCGTCGCCGTGCTGGGCTCGGCCGCACCGCCCTCGCCGCTCCTGCGGGCGGCGAGCTCACGGAGGGAGGAACTACCTGCAGACAACCCGTGATAGAGGGCCGAAAATCCGCCCCGATAATAACCACCCCGGCAAGCGAAGCCGTTTAGTAAACGCGCCCAAAGAAGGAATCGAACAGGGCAGGGCCGTTTAGTAAACGCCCAGGGCCGTTTAGTAAACGCCAGTTGTCCGGTCCGGGTGGTTTCTCCTCCCTTGATTGGAGGCCCACGTGAGCGTTGTTCCAACGAGGTTGGCCAGCGAAAGTCGCTGAGGATGGGTCGAAGGGGCAAGGATGCAAGGGCACCCCTGGGAAAGGTGCCCGTCCTTCCTGTGCGGGGAGACTGTACCTACCAGACCACCCCAACCCAACCCGCAGACCCAAAAGTCTGGGGGGGGGGGGGGGTACGGGTTCCAGATGGGCTCCGGGGGGTACGGGTTCCAGATGGGCTCTTGTCCCGACGTTCCCCGACGCCGCCCCCACTGGGAAGGGAGGGCATATCGAGGCAATCCGGGTTGGGCTGGGGTGGCTTCGTGGGTGGTGAGGGAAGGCCCATAGATCTGGGGCTCCAACAGTTTGGAGCAGCAAGTGTTGGGCCGTGTTCGGCCTCCCGTTGCCCTCAGCGGGCCCCAGGACCGTCAAGAAACGATCTCGAGACGAGAAACCGGCCCTATAGAAATGGTTCAGACCTCCAGGGGTCCACGCATCGAACAAATTGAGCTGCAGGACGTCTGGGGCGTGGCATCCGAGAAAGCTCCGGAGGCCTCCGGCCGTCCGAGAAACTTCCTCGGACTATAGCCCTCAGACCTCCAGGGGCCCACGCATCCTAAAAGTTCGAGCGCGGGACGCCTGTGGCGTGGCGCATCAGCAAGCTCCGGAGGCCTCCGGTAAATCTGAGCCTTCGGGGTGGGTTGGGGTGGTTTGGTGGGTGGAGGCCTCCAGCCTTCTGGAAAGTTCTCTGAGCCTTCTCCGAAGGCGCGGCCGGCTCCTCAGCAGGCGCGGGGGCCTCTGAGAAGCCCCGCCGCCTGCTCGGCAGGCCTGCCCCCATTTCCCTCCTCCTCCTCCTCCTCCTCCTCCTCCTCCTCCTCCTCGTCCTCCTCCTCCTCCTCCTTTTTCTCCTCCTCCTCCTCCTCCTGTTTCTCCTCCTCCTTTTTCTCCTCCTCCTTTTCGCCTCCCCCTTTTTCTCCTCCTCCTTTTCCTCCTCCTCCTCCTCCTCCTCCTCCTCCTCCTCCTCCTCCTCCTCCTCCTCCTCCTCCTCCACCCCCCCGCCGCGTGCCGCCGAGTGTGGCTTTCGGGTCACGCCTCGGTCCTCGGTTCTCCGCCGGCCGTCCGGGACGATCCGGGCACCCCCCAGGGGCGCGCTCGGCGAGGCGCAGTTGCTGGAAAGCACCCCGAGGCTGGGAAACCTTTTTGAGCACCGATCGCAAAATCGGGAAGCGCACGTCAGGCGCCGCTGGTCGACTCGACGCGAACTTGCCGTAACCTCGACAGGTCTTTGGAACCCCCCCCCATAGCGGAAAAGCGTTGTCTGGCCGACGCTCTTAGTGACGGACTAGGGTCTCATCAATGGTGGAACATAACTATCTCTCCGCGGCGCACGCCGCACAACAACGAAGACGACTACGACGACGACGACGACAACAACGACGACACCCATTACGACCCTACGATTACAACTACCACCACAACTACGACTACGACTACAATCACGATGACAATCAAGAATGAACCACTAATGAAATCACGACTACAACCGCAAACACTGATTCCGATCGTAAGCCTCATGAGAAGATGCTCACATATACCCTCGCGTGTAGGGTATGCCACACTGGGTTATTCCATGGAGGAGCAAACCACAACATTCTCAAGTCTGCCCAACAATAGAGGGAACATAATCTCCGCCGCGACGACGACGACGACGATAGCGACGACGAGGAGAAGCAGGATGAGGAGGAGGAGGAGGAGGAGGAGGAGGAGCAGAATGAGGAGAAGCAGGAGGAGCAGGACGAGCAGGAGGAGGGTCGAGCTCGTTCCCCGCCGAGAGAATCAGGGGGGGGGATGGGGGCAGAGCTCCAGGCCTCCTGAGGTTAGAACCTTCTCCCACGGGCGCGCCGCCGATCCTGGCGACGAAGTCGTTCGGCAGGAAGTCGTGCGCGGAGACGTGCGGCCTGGGGCAGAGCCGCAGCGAGGGGATGTCGGTCTCCTGCGGGCGGCCCAGATATCTCCAGCGCTGGGCTGCGCGACTCGTAGCCATGCGCCAGAGTGCAAAGGCGAAACCAACACAAAATACAGTCGAGGCGTTGACCTAAGGAACCCTAAATACGGAACGAGGCCCCTATTTTCCATGAGTTAACCTTTGATTCCCTGTCGAAAACAGAAGGAAAGCCTGAGGCAAGCTGTGAAACACTTAAGGAACGCGGAGCCCCTCCCCAACGAAAAGAGTTCCTTCTTCAGGGCCCCGACTGTACTCGTAGCCCTGCGCCAGAGTGCAGAGGCGAAACCAACACAAACTAGGACGCTGAGGCACTGGGCATCATGGAAACACATGTCGCCGCGCCGCTTGTTCTGAACGCGCCCAGGTAGACGATGCCAGCACTGCAGCAAACCCACGGCAAGCCTTGCGTCCCGCGCCCAGGCAGACGACGCCGCCACCGCGGCAGATCCCATGGTAAGCCCACCGAGCCCGAGGCGGCGTTTGCCCTGGTGGCCGCGGCGCCCTCCAAGAACGTAGGGCCGCGCGTCGGAACAAACGGCGCGGCGACAGATGCAACGTTCACATGCGGACGGCGAAAAGAAACGGGTCTTACGCAACGCAAGAGAACATAACGACCTCACACCGCGGCTTATGCCGGCCGCCAGCGTTGCACACCGCGCGAGGGCGCGTACGCGCGGTCTTGCGCGGGAAGTTTACGAGCGAATGTCGGCGCAGTCGACTCCGTGTCCTTCCATCGCTCACGCGGGCGCCCCTCGATTTCGAGACTCTGGGAGCCGGTTTCTGACCCCGCGACCCTCACAAGGGCCGCTGATTGGAAGGATCGCACATCGTGGGCGACGCACATCTTCGTATCCGCGGCCTCGCGGGCCAAGCACCTGGGCCGCGACCCCGCGGATACGGGGCGTGCTGTTCGCGGATGCCCCGCGCAGGACGTCTCCGTACGACCGCGCATCCGCGGAATCGCGCCCCAGAGCTCCGGGCGGGGATTCGGATGTGGCCGACGCTCGTGGACATCGGCGGCTGTCGGGGGAGCCAAGCGTGGAGCACCGCGCGGACTTCCCGGTTGGGCGCCGCCTCCCCCAACCCCCCTCCCCGACGGGGCGCGCACGATCGGCGCGGGCCTCAGGCCACTCTTCGGCCGAGCGTCTGTCCAATACACAGCGGTGGCATTGAAGGATTAGCCACTGAAGCCAACGCGACGCGCGGCTCGTGATCGAAGACGGGCAGCCTTGAAATAGAGACGCATCCCGGCCCCGAAAGGAGTCCGAGGTGATGCGGTCGGGGGATCGCGCCACTGCGCAAATGCATTGCCGATGCGCCGGCGACGCATCGGCGACGTCGGCGATGCATCGACGCCGTCCCCGTGGAGAAGATCGGACCCCACGTCGAGCTGCATCGCCGACGCATCGGCGACGTGGAGCCACCCTCCGACTCGGACCCCATTTGTGGCCAACTACCAAACCACCACAACCCTGCCCGAAGGCCACCCAGAAGGTTGGAGTCGGGTCGGGAGGTGACCACCCAAAGATGAAATTTCCAGCAAGGGGGGGGCTCTCTGGAACGCAAGTCCCGTGCGTCCCCCCACCCGGAACTTGGATTATCCGGGCGGCCTTCAGGGTCTTCGGGGGGCCTTCGGCTTGGAAGGCCTGGGTACAGGAGGCTCTCATGGTTTCCTCGAATATCCGCGGTGCCGTCCGCCCAGCGTGACGAGGCGGTCGCAGCAGCGGCCCCAGCTCCGCTCCGCGGGACAGGAGGCTGGGAAGGCTCGGGACGTTGACGCTCGGGAACTGCGACGAGGCTGCGCCAGAGCGTGGTGGGCCAGAACCTGCGGCGCGACACGCCGAGCACACGTCCCCGACCGTTTGTTGGCGTACGTAGCTTGTTCTTCTCTGGTCTCCACGGTGCCGTCCGCCCAGTGCACCGAGACGGTGGTGGCGGACTCCACGATCACCGCCGATGGCGAGTGCCAGGACGGCGACTGGACGTGGTCCCCGATCGCCCAGCCCTCCGAGGAGCTCGGCACCGCGAGCACCCGCACGGCCGCCGGCTCGACCCACTCGTCGGGCGGCTCCGAGTCCTTCCGGGCGGGCTCGCCCGGATCCCCCCCTGCTTGGTAAGGTTTCGGGCTGCGCCGTCCCGGGCCAGCCTCAGCAGAACAAGCTACCCGAGTAGTCCCAGCTGGCCTCAACAGGGCCCCGAGCAGCCCTGGGCGGTCTCGACACCTCAACCCGGAGTGTTGAGACTGCTGAGGAGGCCAGCTGGAACTATTTATCTATTCGGGGGGCTTGTTGTTGAGTCCAGCCAGGGTTACTCAGAGGGAGGGCCGTCGGTGCGCAACCCGACGCCTCACCAGTCTTGATCTCCCCCTGCTGGCGGTGCACTGGACACCCGGATCTCCGACGATATGACTTGTGCCACCCTGCTGTTTTCCTTCGAGTTCGACCCTCGGAGGCCATCTTAGAGCCCCCAGACCATCAAAAGTGGATCCAGGACGGAACGGTGCCGCAGGAGACGGGAGTTGCCAGCAAAGAACCCTACTAGCAGCAAGCAGCAAACGTGAAGAGGCAGGTCGAGGAGTCAGAGGTCAGCTATACGAGGCAAGGGTGAGAACACCGAGCACACGGCCGTGTGAGCGACGACAGAGAAACGGGTCTTACGCAAGGTGGCATGGCAAACTTACGCCGAGGCTTGCTTACGCGGGCCGCCAGCGTGGCACGCCGCGTCGGAAACAGGGGCGCTCAGGGGCCACCGTGTGCGGGAAGCCTGCGTGCAAACGTCGGTGCAGCCAGCCCCCCTTCCTTCTGGCACTTCTGCGCACCTTGGTGTATTGGCCACCAGGGCTCGTGGCCGTCCAGGCCAAACGTGTGGCTGGCATATTTGCGGCGAGAGCGCCGTCCCTGGGCAAACTGCGAGGAAACCTCGAGCGAAACGGCTGCCGCACACGCTGCCGCACTGGCCGCCAGATCGGACGGCCTCGGGAGAGGACACACACACACACACACACACACACACACACGCGCACACGCACACGCACACACACACACACACACACTCAGCACCGGTACCGCTACTCCTGGGACCTCTCCAGGGACGCGTTCTGACCAGGAGTTCGAGGCGAATCCAGCGGTGGCGGCGAGGGCCTCCCATGACTACATACCAGACCACCCCAACCCAACCCGAAGACCCGAATTTGACCTGAATTTCGGGTTGGGGGGGTACGGGTTCCATATGTTGATTCAATGTTCCCTGGCCCCCCCCCCCCACTGAAAATGGAGGGCAAAGTGAAGCCTTCGGGTTGGGTTGGGGTCGTTTGGTGGGTGGTGATCCTAGGAGGCCTAAAGAGGGGAGAACGAGGGAATGGTAGCGGTTGCACGGTTTCCCCCGGGGCCGTAGGCGACCTGAGGAGGAGGAGGAGGAGGAGGAGGAGGAGGAGGAGGAGGAGGAGAGAGGAGGAGGAGGAGGAGGAGGAGGAGGAGGGGAGGAGGAGGAGGAGGAGGAGGAGGAGGAGGAGGAGGAGGAGGACGGGTCGCCTGAGCCCTTCGGAGAAACCCTCCAGCAGCGGCATCGGTACCTTTTGCCTCCTCCGAGTGCGCGCAAGGCTCTGGGGTGGGAGGGCAGAGGGGCACCATGCCGAACGCCCGCCGGCCTTGACCGCGCCGGCGAGCCACCGCACCGCCAGGTGGCGGCACTCCACGCTGGCCACGACGCCGCAGAGGGGCGCGCCGCGGCGGGGCGAGCGGCGGCCCAGGCTGCCCCGGATCCACTCCGCCTGTCTCGGGGCGCACAGAGCTCAGGCCTCCGAGATGGGGTCCGAGCAGGCGAGGGGTCGGAGGATCTCGCGCATCGCCGATGCATCGGCGACGCGTCGCCGATGCATCGGCCATGCACTGGCGACGTCGGCGATACATCGGCGACGCCGGCGTGGAGAAAATTGGGCCCCACATCGAGCCGCATCGCCGATGCATCGCCGATGCATCGGCGATGCGGCGCGATCCTCCGACCCCATCTAGTCCGACTCCATCTAGGAGGCCTAGACAGAGACACACTAGTGCTATGTGTCCTCCTTGGAGGCGCGCGTCCGACCCAGACATACAGTATACCCATCTTGTAGTATGTTGTTTCCCGAGCCGTGTGGCCAGAAAGCGCCAGCCAGAAAGATTCCTCGGTGCGCCCGTCGCCCAAAGGGGGGGACGCGCATATAGTATTAGTATGTTGGGGTGTCGCCGAAACGGCTCCGCGCGGCGATCCGGGAGCTCCTGTTAACCCACCCATGACCGCGTCGAAAACAAA